TGGAGAGTTGTAGGCCGTAATAGTAAGAAATTGACCAATCACAGACAAAGTACAGAAGAATAATCGATTGTGATTTGTCAATTTCTTACTGTTACAGTCTAAAACCCTCCATTGTAGACGACCCTTTACGTGACGTTTTGCTGCCGCAGCGTGCTGCTGTATGAAAACGTACCTTTACGATCTTAAGTAATTTTGTGTGATGGCCTTTATGAATTTCCTTTATTTTAGTCTTCTTTCTGGTCAAAGATACAAACAATTTCTATACCAGTGGTGCTCAATATGAAATTTACCATAAATTGTCGATTGATATAAACTAGGAGGGATGGTTTTATCCATAGACTTATATATAAATAGACCCAGCGTTCTGTGAGAGGAGTTGTCCGCGTCTTCTAAAGGACGGAACGATATGCATCCAGGTGCTGTCTCCGTCGCTCCGCCGGTCTGGAGGGGGAACGTCGATGGATAACGTTGAAGGAAAGCGAACTTAAAGGCGCGTGTACCGCACTTATATGTGTAATAGGGTTAGGTTAGGTTACACGGAAAAAGACACAGAAAATGTCTCAGTGTTGCATTTGCAAATCGCATTGTGGCTCCCATGCAGATATTACATTTCATACGTACGTAAATAACTTTGAATTGCAGTAAAAATAGTTACCCTATTACACATATAAGTGCGGTACACGCGCCTTTAAGTTCGCTTTCCTTCAACGTTATCCATCGACGTTCCCCCTCCAGACCGGCGGAGCGACGGAGACAGCACCTGGATGCATATCGTTCCGTCCTTTAGAAGACGCGGACAACTCCTCTCACAGAACGCTGGGTCTATTTATATATAAGTCTATGGTTTTATCTTACTACTGTAAATCGTCTGTGGTTATGATACAAACAGGGGATGACTATTGATGTCCGATAAACGAGAACGGTTTACAGCGACGACAGAAATGAGATTATTCGAACGTTTAGCGAATCTCTTAGGTCTTAGGAAAAAAGAAGTGAACGTTTTAGTAGTGGGCCTTAATAACAGTGGTAAGTCGACGGTCATAAATAATTTCAAACGCGAGGATGACCGTTGCATAGACATAGTGCCCACTGTTGGTTTTAATATCGAAAAATTTGCATGTAAGTTAAAAATAACGTGCAGCAATAAAGTACCCAAGAAATTGTGAACTTTGCTTTCTGTATCTTCACACATTTATTTTTTATTGCACCTACACGTCACATTTATTCTTGTGCAATATTTAATTTATATGACTATTTCTTTCATATGACAAAACACGAATCAATTAATGTACAATATTCATAACATAAAATTATTTATAATATATATATGATTATTTTCAAAAAAGCAATGAATTTTTTCCATAATTTTTAAACATCATGAGAAAACAGATTTGTTAGGAGATCTTGATAATCTGGGACTTTTTCTTAGAGTTTTAGTATTGTTTTGAGCTCTTAGATTTCTGAGCTCTCTGTTCTTGAAATTTCTAGTTTTCTTAGGCTTTTCAATATCTGTGATATTTATAGCCTCCAGATAAGATGTCTTACTGGTACGTCCACGATCTAGTGGAGTACTTGTAATTAATGTAGCTTTCTTGTCAGATCTATTACGCAGGTTAGGTGAAAATATAGAATTCTCTGCACTGCCTGAGGATGTAACCAAATGATCTTGAAAATTCAGTTTTATTTGTTTTAATTTATTTTTTACTTTTGGTGTATCATCTTCCAACAAATTTTTATCAATATTCTGTTGCTGTTTCAGAATAGATGCAATTCTTTTCTTCCCTTTTCTTAAATTTTCTCTGGAGTTTTCAGTAAGTAGTGTATCTGCTTCTGAATCATCTTTAGATGTTTTTCTTTTTTTTCCACTTCTTAAACTTTTATTCTCACTATGTGACTCAGTTGCTTCTATATTATCTTTAGATGCTTTTTTTTTCTTGTTTCTTAAAATTTCTCTTGGATTTTCAGTATGTGATGCATTTGTTTCTGAATTATCTTTAAATGCTTGTTTTTTCTTCCTTGTTCTTTTTGAATCTTCAGTATTAGACTCATTTGGTTCTAAATCACTATCAGATGTAAGTTTCGATTCAGTATATCTTTGCCGTTTCCTTTTATTCCATTTTTTTCTTAGTTCCTGCTTTTTCTTGGCTTGTCTCAAGGATTTTTTCCGTTCTGATTGTAACTGTTCCAGAAACCCCTCCTCGTCGGAATCGCTAGAATACTGTAAATAAAAGTTTCATGAAATGTATGTTATCGAGAATCTGGTTTTATATTATCTTTTTTTATATTAAATTTTGCACATTTAAGTTCTTAAATCTAATAGTTACATGTAATTCCAATGGGCTGTCACTGTCGTCTGTTCTCATCCATGCAAATTCAGAGTCATTTGCTAAAACTCTTTCAAATGCTGTTGGTAAATCCGATAATTTAAATTCTTTTAAACATACTTTCAATCTCTGTTTTGCATCATTGCTCAAGATATTTTTGTCATTTGTTTCTACTTCGATTTTATGTGGTCTTGTTCTATCAGAATGATATTGCAGATACACTACTATATTTATATATTTATCATTTTCACAATCATGTACTCCATATAATTCCAAACTGATTTTGGTATATCCCGTATTAGATTGTAGGTTAAAGTGCTGCATATTTGATACATGCTTCTGAAACAGACATATGCATATAAACATACACATGTGTATTCATAGTTTGTTTTTTTTTTATTGTATTTTAAAAACAATGTTACATGCATATTTGTTCTTATAATACAAAAACCTTTAATGACAGAAACTGCTGTTGTCGCTCAGTGTAGCAATCAATATAATGCTTACAAGTCCTCACAAATGGATTTAAGTTTTTTAAGCTATCAATAGGTGTCTTAGCTAGTATTTCACTCATATCAATTGACATAGGCATCACCCATTTTCCCAAATGACCTTTTCCATCTTTAATGAACATCTGCACAGCATACTTGTTTTTAGCTTCCTGTTCATTTGAAGTCGATACAAAATTAAATGTAACTTCATTTCCATGAACGTTAACGCAGTTCAGACCAGCGAATCTGTACAAATCATTCTGCAGATCGACATCAACATTTGGCAAATTTTTCAAGCTTGATGGAACATTCAAACTTGCTGGCTCGTTTAATCGTCCTTCCACATTTTTAAAACGCAATGTCTCCAGACTCCACTTACACTGTTCGATTATGGAATTCAGTTCTCTTATTTGACGAAGCAATTTTTTCTTTTCTACAGCTGTCGTATCTAGAAAACAAAAAATTCAACTTGATGTTTTGTGTCGTTTGACAAGTAGGGTTAGAATGTTTTGAGCACAAAATAGACACCTTTTTCCGTTTGTTTATCATCTGTATTAGTACTAGATCTTTGCATTTTTTTTAATTTAAAGAAAATTATTAATCTGTTATTAGAGAAAAAACTGAGAGAGCGGTCAGGCCTATATGAAAAACTGTAATAGCTTTCCCGCCTTGTAAGCGAGCGCAATGTCAATGGGTGATGCACATTAGCAACTACAGACATGTTCACAAACGACTTGTCGGTACGTACTTTATGTTCAAACGTGAACATGATTTTATTCCGTGGACATTGCATAGGGCGGAGAAGCTATTACACATTCTCTTACCGACCCCGCATTCAGTCTTCTCTCTGATTTTTTCTTTAAATTGTCTTATATATATTATTTTATATAATTACACTATTTTTAATGTAATATATTTTGAAATTTTATTATTTCAGTCAAAAATGTTAATTTTACCGCATTTGATATGTCGGGTCACGATCGTCATAGATCGCTGTGGGAACATTACTACAAAGATTGCCACGGAATTATCTTTATAATTGACAGTAGCGATAAACTTCGATTGGTTGTTGTTAAAGAAGAATTAGACATGCTTTTGCAACATCCTGATGTAGCAGGTAAAAACGTTTTGTCTGTTTACACACATACAAACACAAATCCGAGAGAGAGAGAGAGAGAGAGATATAGACTCATTTTAATAATTTAATTAATAAATTGAATATCGAAAAATATACATATACACAACGAAGAAAGTAATAAATTCGCGTGTGAAAAATGAAGAGAAAGAGAGAAGAACAAAGTGAACATATATACATTTCAGGACGTAAGATACCCATCCTCTTTCTGGCGAACAAGATGGACCTGCCCGATTCGTTGACTACTGTAAAATTAGTTGCTGGTCTGGGTCTTGATCGAATACAAAACAAACCTTGGCACATACGAGCAACGAATGCGTTAACTGGCGAAGGTCTGCAACCAGCAATTGAATGGCTGACGGATCAAATTCGCGATATATACATTAACAAGAGATAAATTGAATTGTTAAAGAACACGAAATGCGACATTACTCCAATGTTGATATATTCTCATGAAATTTATCGTATCATCAAATTGACATACATTGCAATACATAATGATATCTAATTCCGTCCAATAAAAATGTCTAAAGCACATCTAGCAAAGAATGTAAATAAAAATAATAATAATACACATATATGTGTATACAAAATTGATGCTGTTATACACTATTCCGCGATCTTTGATTTATTACATTAAAGTGTGCAATAGTTTTGTATTTTATCTCATCTATTTATATCTACTTAATAAGCGATAAAGAATGACGCAATAGCGCGTTCCCAGAACGCAGCTACACGTTGTATTATGTGTGTGTGAAATAAACGATTAAAAAGATCACAGTACAAGGTCAACTCACATCTAGTCGATTTAGCACATTAATTTTCTATATACATTACTTAAATAAAATATGTTTTTGCATGAACGCGACGTAAAAACATCAAGACAAAATGTCAAATATCATAAAAGGTCATCGAAAGGTCTGTCGTAAATTCAGTGCTTACACGTTCTGATATTTCGAAATCCTTAACTTAACGCGCTCTCACGAGATATCGCTATTGTCGACAGTTCCCTAGTATAAGCATACTTGCAGCGTCTACAGAAGTCATCCTTTTACCTATTTACGTCACGCCGCACACGGTTCGAGTCAGGGGGTTCAAACTCGCCGTATTTTTTGGCTCCGGAAGTTTTAGTAGTTCATTTCGGAGGTGCCCTAGGCCAGGCGGCAGCACAGTCGGTTCCCCTCTCTTCCTCTCTTCTCCCCTTGCCTACAAGTCGCTGAGTGCCATTAAAGTGC